ATATATATACATATATATATATATACATATATATATACATATATATATATATATATGATAAAAGGGATTAATAGATGATAATGTTATATTGATAAGGTCATTTAGTCCCACATTGACCGAGGAGTATGGGAATCAAGAACTTATAAATCTATCAGATCTCATTTATTTTTAGAGATATTTTTTAGAGTTTCATATACTTCGAAAGGATAAAACCAGATCAATGGAGAAGATTGAGAACTTCAATATAATCGGAGTACTAGTTAGATTGATTGGTAATGATTTTTGTGAGATCAGACCTTGGAATTAGAAATCACATTCACCATTTAAAAAAAATGAAATGTTGTTCTACGCGTAAGAAGTGCATAATCTTTGGACGTGAGCAAAAAACAAAATTGACAAAAACCCCACGTCATAAATTTTGGGGTTTATAGCTCTATCCATTACAGTCTATTTGTCAGTAGCACATTCTGTTCTATGCTTCTTCCGAGCATGCGTTTCAAGATCCGTACGTATTGGTAGAACAGTTCATCGGCATCATCTACTTCTGTCGGTCTATTATTCGTTGCCTGCCAAACGTCGCATAAAAAGCATTATGGAGACTAATTATATATTTCCCGTTGCGAGGTAGAAATTATCGAGCATGTTGCATTGGAGATATATAGTAAGATTAATGCTCGTTCAGATTGGTTTCCTGGTGCCGGTCATCATCGCTACGAACTCATCCATGTCGACGAGCCCGTCCCCGTTCTTGTCCACATGCTTCACCATCCTCGCGCAGTCCTCCAAGGTACAACTTTCGCCAAGTTTCTGCATCATTCTCTTTATATCTTCGGCGCTTATATGTCCATCGCGGTTCTCGTCGAACATGCCAAAGGCGTCTTTCAATTCTCTCATGCTTACGTCCTTGGTCACCTTCATGAACTCGTCGAAGTCCAGAAAGCCATCATTGTTGAAGTCGGCCGCCTGCATCATCTGCTTGGCCTCACGGTCGGCGTCGGCAACGTTCATCTTGTGCAGCAGCTGCCGCAGGTCGCTGAACTCGATCATCTCTTTGCCATTCGATATCTTCCTGAATACCTGCTCCATGCCCTCCTTGTCGGGCTCAAACGTGGGTTTCAGGTCTGAGGCTTGGCTGTCCTTCCTTGATATCCACTTCTTTTCCTTCAGCTTCTCTACGTTGTAGCGGAATTCAAGAATCCTCATCTGTCGCATGTTTCCACGTAATGAAATGTGGTAGCACCTGCAAGATGAAGGCATACTGGGGATTTGGCCCCTCAGATTTATAGTGCCTGAATGGCTCAGTCTCCAGATTCTTGAAAGAAGCATAAAGTTTGGAGATTCTTATCCGCCGCACAAAGGGATGACACCTCTCGATGCCTCCCTACATGGCCAAACCGAAAGGTGGGTTCAAAGGTAAAACAAGCTGACATGGGGACAAGCATAAGAATCTTTGGCAACGTTCACGAGTGCAAAAAGCTTCCTTTAATGCTTCTCTTTTACGTAAGGTCAGATCAACAAGATCAAGAAAGCTAGAACATGCATGAATTCGAAGCAATACATCTTATGCTCACTGCTTCAGGCAGCAATACGTACGAGTGTAAAGTTGATAGATGCTTCGATAAAGGAAGTATCCAATGACTATGTATGTATATCTTCCACCGCACACACTAAAAATATTTGCCTACTTCCTGCTATTATGGGCCATATAACCTAAACAAGATACGAAGATTAGAATCCATGTAGTATTCTAATAACATATGTTGAAAAAGATTATAGAAAAAATCTTTTATATATATATATATATATACACACACACATATATATTTATATATCAGAGAAAATGTTACATGTAACTTTTGCAGGTGGCAAATTTGGAAGATGTTCCCAAAAACATGTTGGTGAAAAAAAAATGTTGTCTCCTAAAATTTGGTAATTCAGAAAATAATAAGATTTTAGGAATATATTCCATCTCTAAGAGAATGTTTCATCTTATTCTATCATTTTCTGTTTTGAATTGATGATAAGAAGTAATTGAGATCAAATAAAATACATTTAAGTTAGGATTTAAATAAAATAAAATTGGTTAAATCTTAATTTAGAAAATATTATTAGAATTTATTCTAATCACACTCCTCATCCCCTAGGATAGCAAGAGGTCTCGATCCCAATTATTTTAGTATTAGTAATAAAAAATATTTTTGAGATTAATGTTAATTTTATGGAATTTTCTATCAATTGTGATAATTTTTTAGAATGCAAAACATGAAATTAAACATTAGAAATTATTCAAAACCCAAATTATAGATTGTAAAATCGTTGACCTGATTTACTATTAATTATGTAGGTTGCATCTATATTTTTCATGATTTAGATAATTTTTAACTCAGTTTTATTGTTTGTCTATAATTTTAATTCATGAATAGTAGTGTTAAGATTCTGTAAATCATGCTTCTATTTTATTTAAATGATTATGCATAACTAAAACTTAATTCCCTTCTTTTCTGGAATTTTTATCAATTATTTGATTTACTGTATAATTTTAGATATCTGTGAAAAACATAAAATAGAAAATTAGAATTAAAATTGGTCTGACCCAAATCGTATCTGAGTCAGACCACGCGGTCGGGCTCGAACAGGTGCAGACCTGCGCTACCTTGAGCCTGGGTTCGGGTTCGACTCTGGTTCAGTAGCTCGACTGGACCAGGCCGACGGCTTAGTAACGGGCTGGAATGGGCCGTGGCGTGTGTCTCAGCACTTTGGCCCACTAGATACAGATAGACGCAGCTCATACATAGCCCTAAAGCGGCCCAGCCCAGCAACCAGTGAACCTATTCCCGCTTTGACGCACTTGCTTGGCACGTAAGTGCATTGTGGGTTGGCATTCAGCCCTGTAATGAGTTGGATTTGGTCCTGAAATAGCCCATTATCCATGTTTTGGCTTATATCATGATTTTGAGCTCAATTAATCCCTAGATTAAACCTGAATCGAATCGGTTGGACCGATTTTGATTGATTCAAGATCAATTTGAACCGATTTAGACCGGTTCAAGCTGGTTGGACCTAAATTAGACTTAATCAAGTTTAAATTAGATCAGTTTAGGATGATTTTGGACTAATATGATTAGGATTATGAGTTGGTTCACTTAGGTTCTAGTTGAATTAAGTCTGGATCGAATTAATTGGCCAATTGATGATTATTTAGGATATGATTTGTGATATTGATATTATTTGATGACTTTCGGATCAATGGATATATGTGGTATTACTAGTCTTATGACTGACATAAGATATCTGATTGAGAGAAAAGAACTTGTGTGATCACTGTCAATTGTAGGAGGACTTAAAGGATAATTTTCTTCTAGGATTAATAAGCAGTTAGACATGATAGATAATTTCTTTCTCTTCAAACCCTGTGCATTCTTCAGCAATGTCATCCATGATTAGCTGGGAGCGGCACTGAAACCTGACCCTATAAGCAGTGCAAAGCGAGGCACATGTTTACCTTTTGTTGAGTTTCCTCCCAATGCAGTATTTACTCAGACAACAACGATGAAGCAATGCAGAACAGCCTTTCGATGCAGATCCATGGGGAGATGCTACGTATATGTCGGACAAACCATGACACAAAACGAATGCAGCAACTCCATGTCACCTTTTACTAGCACAAGAGGGCGGAAACGTGTTAGGTATAGAAGCACGAAGAGATTGAAAAGTGGTAGGCACAACAAGCACGAACAGGTTGGGGGAAAACCTCCTCAGCGATGCGTACCCCACGTCCAGGAATTGGACGAGGATATACATCAGTCAGTGTAGGCGTCTCTTCTCTTCGAATCACTTAGGAAGCGTCTTTTCCTCGTTCTTGCGTTGACTGTGCTCCATAGTGCTTGATTTATATTTCTCCCACTGATTTGCCAGACAGGGGTGCCGACAAGAGAAACGATGGACTGAGAAGAACAGATTCAAGGAACCTGAAGTTGATAAGTTAGCAAGCAAAAATGGTTGCATAGCTCATCAGTAGATGCAACATTACTCTCAAGGATTGCGGAATTCATTTATTTTCCGGCGACTATCACCCGTCATAACAAATTATTTCTCATTTTGAATTTTTTCGGTGTGTTGGAAGGTTGCGTCGTAGATTAGACATGCAAAAAAAAAGGTCAAAGCTACTGCTGCTTTGGAATTGATGAGTTTGACTCGTCAAGCTGGTTCCGGTAAAGACTCTTCTCGTCACCTTGGACCATGTGAGAGGTTCGTAGCAGAGAAAGCAGGGTTGACTGACTTAATGGCGACTCAACTCCACCATGTGATCACGTTTTTTCCGTCACGCTTATCGAAGTCGAGTTCTTTTTCTCGTGGAAGGTTTGGACCTTTGAGATCAGTAGCTCGCTTTCGAAGCGTTTAATTTTATTCCTCGTGGCTTGGAAGAACTTAGAAATGGAGGTCAGTGTGGGTTTTCACCAAACACACAGACTTCGACGACGTCACTTGGAAGTCTCCAACTCTTGCTTCAGGATCTGCTGAGAAAACCGGAGTCCCCGGTGGCCTCAGGCATCCGAAGAAGTGACAGGATGGATGGGAAGCGAGTCAGGAGCTCCGTTGATCTGGAGTTGCAAATTGGTTCTAAGCCTGAGCTCCAGAAGAGAAGCACCCCAACCATCTTGACGCCCGGGATGATGATCTTCACCTGTTTCATGTTCTTGCCGCTGATGGTGCTTCTTCTTGGAGCCAACAGGAACCCATCTTTCGAGTGGCTTCTTGGTGTTGAAATCACAGCGGGAAAAGGTAACCCCCATTTGCCGCACTGTTTCCTTCGGATCTGCGATTGTAACAAGGGCGTATACTGTTTCTTCTGTTGATGGAAGGAGAGATTTGGATTGGGTTTTCCGCAAACATGCAACGGTGTTTCCATGTTCTACGTTTTCATGTGAATCAACCCATTGATCCGAGTCGAAAACTCGCGTTTAGATTTCGGGCCGCAGTTAAGAGTCAGAAAACATGAGTTTCATCATTAATCTTGATCGTATAATTCTAGCAAATATCTACTTGGCTCTGTTCTGCTCTTGCATCGGATCTATACCAATCATCGTATTTATTCGTGTGTCCACCGCAGGTTCCAAATATGGTTCTTCGGCATCCTTCTCTGAGCCCCCAAATGACAAGCTTCTTGGAGGTCTACTCTCTGCTGGATTCGACGAAGCTTCTTGCCTCAGCCGCTACCAGTCCGCACTGTACCGGAAGCAATCGAACCACACTCCTTCACCTTACCTCGTCTCCAGGCTCCGAAGATACGAAGCTCTCCACAGAAGATGTGGCCCAAACACCGAGCTCTACCAGAAGGCTATAGAACAGCTGAAGTCAAACCGCAGCACAGAGCCTACGGAGTGCAACTACGTGGTATGGGTGCCCTCCGATGGCCTAGGCAACAGAATCATAACTATTGTCTCAGCGTTCCTCTACGCCGTCCTTACTGACAAGGTCCTGTTGGTGGACCTTTCCGATGACCTTCGCGACCTCTTCTGTGAGCCGTTTCCTGGTACCTCGTGGATTCTACCTTCGGATTTTCCAGTCAACAACCTCGAAAGCTTGTTCTTGAATGCTCCTTTGAGATTCAGAGATGTGCTGGGTAAAAAGTTGGACGCCACAGATGGTTCACTTCCATCTTATCTCTATCTCCACCTGACACATGATCAGAGATTTTCCGATCACATGTTCTTCTGTGAAGAGGCGCAGCCACTGCTTCAAAGAACACCTTGGTTGTTGCTAAGATCGAATCAGTACTTCGTGCCTGCTCTCTTTCGCGCCTCGCAGTACGAAAAGGAACTAAGCTTGCTCTTCCCGATGAAATCAGTCGTCTTCCACCACTTGGGAAGGTACCTGCTCCACCCAGCTAACCCAGTCTGGGGTTACATTACGAGGTACTATGATGCTTATCTGGGCAATGCAAAAGAAATGGTAGGCTTACAAATAAGGATTTTTGAAGCTGCACCGATATCTTCGGATCAGATGATAGCCCAAATCCTCAACTGTTCAATACATGAGGGGTTGCTGCCGGAGATTAATCTCACAGAGCCTGCTCAACCGATCACACAGAGAACACAACCCAAAGCTGTGCTCTTGACCACACTATACTCGGGTTACTTTGAGAAGCTGAGGAACATGTACTACCAGTACGCGACGACCACCGGGGAGGCCATCGCGGTTTATCAACCGAGTCACGAGGAGCAGCAGCACACGGAGAAGCAGAACCATAACAAGAAGGCTCTGATGGAGATGTACCTCTTGAGCTGCAGCGGCGCGTTGATCACAAGCGGGTATTCGACGTTCGGGTATGTGGCACAAGCTCTGGGTGGACTGCGGCCGTGGATTCTGCTACGGCCTGACAAAGGGAGTTCTTCTTGCCTTCGCGCGACGTCGATGGAGCCCTGTTTCCATTCCCCTCAGGGATACCAATGCATAGCAGAGAGGAGCAGCAGCAACGAGGCTGTCGGGCATGTGAGGGAGTGTGAAGATGTTCCCGGGGGACTCAAACTTGTAGATTAGACTCGACGTTCTCGAATTCTACCTCAAAAATTCATTTGATTTACAACTGTTCCATTGCTGAAAACGTATCATTAATGAATGTGTCAAACTTTGCACGAATTTTGCGTTGAGAATGATGATTTCTTCGTCACCAGTCATTTTCTTAAGCCATATTTTGACTTCTACTCCCTGTCGTCAAACATACATTTATGCATTTTTACTGGAATTAGCTACTGGTTACATAGTGACGCGATGTTTCCACAATGCTAATTTGTTTTTAGTTTTACTTAGAGATTATACCAAAATCATTTATTTTGGACATATATATCTATTCAAAATGTTTGTCTATTTTGATCATATTATCATCGTCATTTTTTCCTAAGGATTCTGTGTGTTGTGGTTCATTGATCAGATGACTCTTCTGCTCCACAACCAAAGTCAACAGCCACCTGCTAATAAACAAAGCTCGAATCTGCTCGATCAAACAATCCAAGATGCGGAACCGTTTGAGCCCAAATACATTATTCCCCGGTACTGAACACAGGTTGTTACATTTACACAAGCATGGGAAGGAAGCGAAGACGAATACTGCCGTGCACGGCACGCCCTTTTGCGATCTCCGTCGATCGTTCTTTGAGAGACGCGTAAAGATCTGATTGATAACACTGAAATCCTCTTTGAAGTTGGCCGTTTCACATCCTGCTTAGCCAAACTGATTGCTTGTTTCTCTTGGAAGACCTGCGACTGTTCTTTTCTTCCCACAGTTTCCTAAGTAAGATTAAAGTAAGAGCTCACGGACTTCAATGCTGAGCTAGCAAACAGAACAGATCAAAAACTTTGTATCGACACCAGAGGGCTGACGTGCTTCTTCCTTCCCACTGACAGCTGCTCTTCACGCGAAGAAGGCATCATGTTTTGGACCAAGTTCGAGGTTTGTTTTCATGCCGCCAATTGTGTTCGGCCCCCTCCCACCTTCATTTGAAGAGGACGTGTCGACGGAGCTGAAGCGGATACGAAGGCTGCAGCAGCTGTAGAAGAGGAGGCGAGGAACTGGAAGCCATGGCGATGTGGAAACACTTGGTGGGCAGGAGATTACCAGGCCACTTTTGGCAGTGGCATTAGTGGCGATGGTGCTGCTGCTAGTGGAGATGTCCGGCACCTATAGAGGCTTGTCCCCTGATGTGCTGCTTAATGCAACCAGCAAAGAGGAGGTCACTTTTTCTTTTGCTTTTTCCTCTCTTCTTTTTTTCTTATGCTTTCTTTTATGATTTTACTATAATTAAAAAAGAGGCTATTACTTTATGGTGGATTCATAATTAGCCGATGCATTCAGCTAATGTGAAGTCATCTTTTGCATGTATTGTTTGTTGATCATTCAGATCTCCGAGTTGATTGTTCTGCGTCGTTCAGAGATGAACGTCCAAAGGACAGGCTTCTTGGAGGGCTGCTAAGCCCTGAATTCGACGAGGCTTCTTGCCTGAGCCGCTACCAGTCGGCACTGTACTGGAAGCAATCAGACCACACCCCTTCTCCATACCTCCTGCGGAAGCTTCGAAACTATGAATCCCTACACAGAAGATGTGCCCCCAACACCGAGCTCTACAACAAGTCCATAGAGCAGCTGAAGTCCAATGCCAGCGCAGGGCCTTCGGAGTGCAACTACGTGGTGTGGCTGGAATCCGGAGGCATCGGCAACAGGGTCATCAGTATGGTCTCCACATTCCTGTATGCCCTCCTCAACGACAAGGTATTCCTCCTCAAACTTCCTGATGACTTCCATGGCATCTTCTGCGAGCCATTCCCCGGGACCTCGTGGCTTCTATCTTCAGACTTTCCTATTCAAGACCTCGACGGGTTCGATATTAGTCATCCTCAGAGTTACGGAGACATGCTACGAACTAAGTTTGCTCTTCAAGCCGTTCTCCATCTGAGCAGATACATTCTTCACCCTACTTAGATTTGATTCATAGTTATCTATCTAGATAGTTATCATGATCTAGTGGTTATATGATAATTTCAATAACTACCTCAATCTTGATATAGTAGTTATATGTTGGTGATGATTGTCACTAGGTCCTATAAATAAAACTGTAGTACATTTGGTATCTTGTAAGTATTCTTATCAATCCTCCTGTTTTTAAATATTACATCAGTTTTCTTGAGTCGAAAGGATTCTTTTTACTGGTATCGTAGTATTCTGTTTTTTTCTTGCTCCTCAATCCTCAACATTTGTGGTATCAGAGCCTTCTCGGGCAAAAGCTATGAATTTTGGAGTATCAAGATGAAGACTCTATTCAAGTCTCAAGATCTTCGGGACTTAATAGAGAATGGATATGAGGATCCAGATGACGAAATCAGGCTGAGGGAGAATAGAAAAAAGGACTCAAAGGCATTGTTTTTCATTCAACAAAGCTGTATATGAGATGATCTTCTCAAAAATTACAACAGCGATAAACTCAAAGCAAGCTTGGTTGATACTTCAAAATGAATTTCAAGGCTCATTAAGGGTGATTATGGTAAAACTTCAAACCCTCCGCCGTGAGTTTAAAATTTTGTTCATTAAAAGCAATGAATCGATGCAAGATTTTCTTTCTCGAGTTACTGAAATTGTTAGTCAAATGAAATCTTATGGTGAACATCTTCCTGATCATATAATTGTTGCAAAAGTTTTGAGAAGTTTAACTCCGAAATTTAATCATGTTGTTGCCGCAATTGAGGAGTCAAAAGATTTATCTGAACAGGTCACTTGAAAAAAGTGAAGAAAAAATATTTCAGGTTAAGGAGGAGTCTTCTACTTCAAAAGAAACAAAAAATCAACAGGAAGAGGACGTGACAGAGGAGGATTTCGTGATAGAGGAAATGGAAGAGGAAGATGACACTTTGATGGGCATGATGAACAAGGGCAATCAAATTATGATCAAAAAAATTACAAGAGTGGAATTCAATGTCACTACTGTAAAAAGTTTGATTACATGAAGGCAGATTGTTGGAAAAGAGAAAAGCAAGCAAGCTATGTGGAGAAAAATGAAGAAAATAGTAAGTTGTTTATGACTCATTCACAAGTTCATAATATCTCAAATGATATTTGGTTTCTGGATAGTGGATGTTCTAATCATATGTCAGGCATAAAATCAATATTTAGATATATTAATGAAACTCATAAGTTGAAAGTTAGACTTGGAGATAGCAAGCAAATCCAAGTGGATGGGAAAGTAACAATTGAGATGAAGACAAATCAAAGGAAGGTAAAATACTTTGATAATGTTTTCTTTGTTCCTACTTTATCACATAATTTGTTGAGTCTTGGACAATTAGTAGATGATGGATATTCAGTAATATTTAATAATGGTTCATGCAATATTAGAGATAAAAAAATCTGATTTGATTATAGTAAATGTTTGCATGACACAAAACAAGATGTTTCCACTTGATGTGTCAAATATTGAAAGACATGTGCTTATCACAACTCAAAAGAATGAGTCTAGTTTATGATATTTAAGATATGGACACCTTAACATTAAGGGTTTAAGGTTGTTAAGTCAAAAAGGAATGGTTTTCGGATTGCCCAAGATTAATACACTTGATGTATGTGAATGATGCATTTATGACAAACAAAGTAAAAAATCATTTCCTATTGGAAAAGCATGGAGAACATTTAATTGTCTTGAATTAATTCATGCTGACTTATATGGACCTATGAATGCAAAATCATTTGGTGGAAGTCAATATTTTCTATTGTTTACGGATGATTATAGTCGCATGAGTTGGGTATATTTTTTTAAATTAAAATCTGAAACATTTGATAATTTTTGAAAATTTAAGGCACTTGTAGAAAGGTAAAGTGATAGATATATAACGACACTTCGGACATATAGAGGTGGTGAATTTTTATCTAATGAGTTTAATTCTTTTTGTAAAGAAAATGGTATTCACAGAGAATTGACAACACCATATACATCGGAGTAAAATGGTGTAGCTGAACGTAAGAATCGAACTGTCGTTGAAATGGTAAGAAGTTTGCTTAAAAGAAAACATCTTCCAAATCAGTTTTGGGTAGAAGTAGTTGCAACAGCAGTTTATTTGTTGAATATTTTACCAACAAAGGCTATTATGAATCGAACTCCTTTTGAGGCTTGGTATGATATGAAACCAAGTGTTAGACATATAAGAATTTTTGATTGTATTGCTTATGCTTTGGTGAATTCACAAAATCATCACAAGCTTGATAAAAAATCTGAAAAATATATTTTAATTGGTTGTTCTTTACAATCGAAAGCATATCGATTATATAACCTTGTTAGTGGCAAAGTTATTATTAACAGAAATGTTATGTTTGATGAAAGGGTAAGTTGGAATTGGGATACCAATAAAGGTGGAACACAAATATAGATTCTAATAGAACTAGACACTCTGTAGAATCAAGTGACAGATCTTGCTCCAACAAGTTCATTGTCAACCTTACCCAATAGCAGTTCAAATTTAGATTCCTCGTATGAAACCCTTCCAAGAAATTTCAGATCATTAACAGAAATTTATAACTCAATATTTGCTTTGTTTATTTGAGATCCAACAACCTTTGAGGAAGCAGTTAAAAAAGAGGAATGAAGAAAAGCAATGAAGGAGGAAATCAAGTCAATTGAGAAGGAGGAAATCGGAGCTAATGGATCTACCAAATAATTTACATTTAAACTTTGTTTTGAATACCCATTTTAATCCAATAGATTTCTTTTCTTTCGGTAGATCCAATAACTCTCAAGTTTCATTCTTCTTAATTGACTTGATTTTCTCCTTCATTATTTGTTTTTCTTCATTCCTCTTTTTTAACTGTTTCCTCGAAGGTTGTTGGATCTGAAATAAACAAAGCAAATGTTGAGTTATAAATTTCTGTTAATAATCTGAAATTTCTTCGAGGGGTTTCATATGAGGAATCCGAATTTGAACTACTATTGGGTGAGGTTGACGATGAACTTGTTGGAGCAGGATCTGTCACTTGATTCTACGGAGTGTCTAGTTCTATTAGAATCTGTATTTGTGTTCCACCTTTATTGGTCTCCCAATTCCAACTTGTCCTTTCATCAAACATAATATTTCTATTAATAATAACTTTGCCACTAATAGGGTTATATAATCGATATACTTTCAATTGTAAAGAATAACCAATTAAAATGTATTTTTTAGATTTTTCATCAAGCTTGTGATGATTTTGTGAATTCACCAAAGCATAAGCAATACAACCAAAAATTCTTAGATGTCTAACACTTGGTTTTATACCATACCAAGCCTCAAAAAGAGTTCAATTCATAACAACCTTTGTTGGTGAAATATTCAACAAATAAACTGCTGTTACAACTGCTTCTACCCAAAACTGATTTGGAAGATGTTTTCCTTTAAGCAAACTTCTTGCCATTTCAACGACAGTTCGATTCTTACGTTTAGCTACACCATTTTGCTCCGGTGTATATGGTGTTGTCAATTCTCTGTAAATATCATTTTCTTCATAAAAAGAATTAAACTTATTAGATAAAAATTTACCACTTTTATCTGTTCGAAGTGTTTTTATATATCTACCACTTTGTCTTTCTATAAGTGCTTTGAATTTTCGAAAATTATCAAATGTTTCAGATTTCAATTTCAAAAAATATACCCAACTCATGCGACTATAATTATCAGTAAATAATAAAAAATATTGACTTCCACTAAATGATTTTGCATTCATAGGTCCACATAAGTCAGCATGAATTAATTCAAGATAATTGGATGCTTTCCATGCTTTTCCAATAGGAAATGGTTTTTTACTTTGTTTGTCATAAATACATCCTTCACATACATCAAGTGTATTAATCTTGGGCAATCCGAAAACCATTCCTTTTTGACTTAACAACCTTAAACCCTTAATGTTAAGGTGTCCATATCTTAAATGTTATAAATTAGACTCATTCTTTTGAGTTGTGATAAGCGCATGCCTTTCAATATTTGACACATCAAGCGGAAACATCTTATTTTGTGTCATGCAAATATTTACTATAATCAAACCAGATTTTTTATCTCTAATAGTGTATTAACCATCATCAAATATTACTGAATATCCATCATCTACTAATTGTCCAACACTCAACAAATTATGTGATAAAGTAGGAACAAAGAAAACATTATCAAGATATTTTACCTTCCCTTGATTTGTCTTCATCTCAATTGTTTCTTTCCCTTCCATTTGGATTTGCTTGCTATTTCTAAGTCTAACTTTCAACTTGTGAGTTTCATCAATATCTCTAAATATTGATTTTATGCCTGATATATGATTAGAACATCCACTGTCCATAAACCAAATATCATTTGAGATATTATGAACTTGTGAATAAGTCATAAATAACTTATTATTTTCTTCATTTTTCTCCACATAACTTGCTTACTTTTCTCTTTTCCAACAATCTGCCTACATGTGACCAAACATTTTATAATAGTGAAATTGAATTCCACTCTTGTAATTCCTTTGATCATAATTTGATTGCATTTGTTCATCATGCCTATCAAAGTGTCCTCTTCCTCTTCCATTTCCTCTACCACGAAATCCTCCTCTGTCACGTCCTCTTCCTGTTGATTTTTTGTTTCTTTTGAAGTAGAAGACTCCTCCTTAACCTGAAATATTTTTTCTTCACTTTTTTCAAGTGACATGTTCAATAAATCTTTTGATTCCTCAATTGCGGCAACAACATGATTAAATTTCGGAGTTAAACTTCTCAAAACTTTTGCAATAATTATATGATCAGGAATATGTTCACCATAAGATTTCATTTAACTAACAATTTCAGTCACTCGAAAAAGATACTCCAAAATTCATAGCTTTTGCCTAAGAAGATGGGGATAAGGGGTTAGACATGGAATTGCCATTGGAAGCCATAATGCCCAGTTCAGATTGAAACTAGGCTTTGATACCACAAATATTGAGGATGGAGGAGCAAGAAAAAAAACAAAATACTACGATGCAAGTAAAAGAATCCTTTCAATTCAACAAAACTGATATAGTATTTAAAAACAGAAGAATTGATAAGAACACTTACAAGATACCAAATGCATACAGACTCTATCTCCTTGTTACCAAATGCATACAGACTCTATCTCTTTGTTTCATGAACTATGATCCTATTTATAGGATCTAGTGATAACCATCCTATAACTACTAGATCATGAGTTAGTTATTGAAATCACAGATACTCAAACTAATTACGAGCACTCTGACAACCACGGGAGAGGTGATCAACCCAGCCAAAGAAGCAGGCTCGATCAGAAATATACCTGTTGATCTTCAGTGACGTACTGCTCACCACTACATTCTCCACGTTCGGGTATGTGGCGTATGGCCTTCGACGTGTGAGGCCGTAGCTTCTCCTGAAACCCTGTCGGCGGAGCCATGCTTCCACTTAGGTTCCTCTTACGACTGCAAAACCAAGCAACGTTGACAAAGGGGCAGTCGTCCCTTACGTGAAGCACTGCGAAGACTTTGCATGGGGCGATAAGATAGTCGATGAGACGCTATTAATACGCAGCCACTAGTACTGCGTGTGCTTGGAAAAGAACTTCGTTGTTTCGAAGTTTCAAGTGCCTCCAATTTGTATTGTTTATTTTGAGGGTCCCATTTGTACCATTTCAGTTGTTAGCCTAACAGTGGCTTGAGCTTGGTTGCATTCTTTTTTATAGTTTCTCAAGTTTGACCAAGTCAAGATCTATTAACTCGAATTGTCAAAGGAGAGAGAGAGAGAGAGAGAGAGGGGTAACCTTTTCATTTAACCGTAAAACCAGCTAAACTTCATTAACTAAATTCAACTGTTATAAAAACACTTCAAAAAGTCCAGTCAAGATGACCATTTTACTCTATAAAAAAAGGATGATGGATAGTCTTCAGGATACCTGATGATAGGGGCAAAAATGACGGTGTGACACGTCATGACAGCATCCCCCTGAGCAACACACTGCCCGAGGCTCGCCATACCCTGCAGCAGCTCGGCCCCCCACGCAACCCCAGCGGCAATGTCAGACGCCACCAAAGGTACAGTCCTGCCCTGCAGACAGCTGCGTCAGGTAACATCTAATCTCATCTATAAATACACATGAGTCCTAAACGGAACAGCGGGGGACGCACCCAGCACACGGAGGCTTCTCCTCCTCCTAAACTCCCTCCACATCTTCCTCTAACTTGATCGTCGGAGGGGTCGGGTCGAGCACCCCGACCCGACCTTTGTGCAGGTGCGAAGCCTTCGGAGATCACCGCTTTCGGAGATTCAGCAGGCTCGAGGAGCACCCCCACGGAGACCACCGCCTTCCGGACCCGAACCAAGCCGCGACGGCCCCGACGCCATGGCTAAAAAAGTTACTGACCGTAACACCTGATATATATA